GATTAGTCGACTAATCTAAAAAAATAATCGGTGATTAATCGATTATAAAAATAATCATTTGTGGCAGCCCTACCTCTGACTTGATTTAAGAAACAAGATGACTCGAACACACCAGAGGAAAAATATGTTTAACAACATTTGCAATCCAAGACTCAGCTGCACACCAGAGTATCTGTGAAACGGACTCAGTTGTGTTTTCTCTGCTGGACTTTTCAAAGTGTTGTGTCCAAAAGTTAATTTTGGTGTAAATGTTCATTCAAATGTTATTTTTTGAACATCTCATTAAAATCTGTCAAATTAATTCATGAAATATTTTGCTGACAAACTCTCACATCTTCAATGACTGGAGATAATAGATTAATTTTTATGTGTAGTATTTGAATAAAACACAATGAGCTGTATATTCTAATTATCATCTTGTTTAAATGTTAGGTTGTTTTTGTGTCTGCAGATAGATTTAATTTGATTTAATTAACAGTGAATCTTTAACCTGCTGCTCAGCTGAAATGACGTAATTCATCCTCCCGCCACACAGTGTCGCTGCTGAGTTATTAATGTTTTATTGTGAAATGGTCCTTCGCGCKTTCCGTCCTCAGGTTGTTGAATAACCTTTATTGACACCGTGTCAGTGAAGTGGTCCAGCATGGGGGCAAAAGTGGCGCGGATGTTCCGAAACTACAACATAGAGAACCGGGCACTTCGGGAAATCTCCAAGGAGAAGCCGCGCGCGGCGCCCCGACACGCGACCGGKCCGCCGCCGAACTCGGTCGGCCCCGAGGGTGAGTCGGTCCGTCTGCGACCGCCGGCTCCGGTCCGGCCTCAGGGTCAGGGTTGCCCTCAGAACCGAGTGGACCTCCTGCTGAGCGTGTGTTCTGTGTTTCAGTGGTGAAGCAGAAGAACCAGCCGTTACTGGACCACCTCCGGACCGTGTATGTGGAGTCCAGAGACCCGGCAGAGGTCAGACACCACACCTGTCTCTGTTAGCATGTTAGCAAAACATCTGATGAACCACGAGAAGTCAGATGATTTCAACAACAGAATGAGCTCATTCAGGACTAAAGTTAAAGTTTGTGTCTGATGAAGAACCTGCAGCTTCAGTGCTGCAACTAATGACGGTTTTAGTCGACTAATCGGTTGATTTTGTTCATTAGTCTATTATTTCTACCACACTCACCTGTACACACCTGAGAATGTTACTACCTGAACATGAGTTCCCATAGCTAACAGYTAAAATAATGACCCATAAACTTAAACTTAATCACATGAATCTCTGATACATGTGACAGTAAGAAAATTTCACTAAATACAAACTGAACTGCAGGTAGTCTATTAAAGGCACAGTGTCTAGGATTTGTTGTTTTCAGCGACATCTAGTGGTTGAGTGGTTGAATCATCCTCCCTGGTCCTCCCCCCACCCCCACCCCCTGCTTCCAAACACAAA